TTTGCTAGACATGGATAGAAAAGATTCAAGAGAAAAAGAAAGATTTTAAGTATCTTCCTCTAACCAATGGACCACCCAATGATTATTGGATTTTAGTTATCAAAAGTATTATTTGATTGCTTATTTGATTATATCAAGTTTTTCATTATATGCAGTGAATTCATGTGCAATTGTAAAGTAAAAAAGATTTTTTTATACATTCTCAATATGCACACACCCTCGACACAAGGGTTGGGAATGAATAATGATACCCATACCAATTGCTTTAATGACCCATAATAATCCTTCCATAAGAGTGAAAAAGTGAATACTTGCCACAATCATTCCCTACTTGTGATTTGATTTTCATATTAATTATCTCATTAATAAACCCCATACCATTTGTTTTTTTTGGGGGTGGGGGGGCACGCTTGCAAATAATAAATATTACAAATTGGCATTTTGATTCCCATTCCGCTCTCTATTCGGGCATGCGAACCGAACAGTCCTCATCTGTTTTCCACTACCACGCTCAATTGGTCATTTTGGTCGGTGCAACTTTCCAATTACTCCCTATCTTTTTCCTAATTAGACCAAACTGACCGAGTTATTCCAAGAGCCAGTGGCTGGAATTTCATAACGACTATTAAGTCAATGGGTCATATCATCACATTATATCGCAAATTTCCGCCAAATAAGATGGGCAATATGATTAAACTTCGTTAACATTAAAACGGTTTGTTTAATGGTTATCCATTGACGATTGTTAAGATATACTTCAAATACTAGATTTTAGAAATATAAAATTAATTTAAAAATTTATATAAATATAAGAAAAAATAATTATTATTAGCATGTGTATATACAAAAAAAATAGATTGAGTGAAATTTAAATATATTAACAAGTGTCATTGGACACCCGTTAAAAAATATCAAACTAAAATTAATTGCCTAAAATAGTGGATGTGAATTCCCAAATGACACTATCTATAATATAGTTGGATTTGTCCCCTTCCTTATAGCATAGGAGTAGGAATCAATGTATAAGTAAATGATTGATGCTTGACAAAAAAATCCTAAATGACACTATTTATATCTTCCCTGTTTTCCTTGCGCAAACTACGATTATCTTTTCAGGTACCTTCGATCTACTTGAAAATGTTTTTGACAAAATTGGGTTGATGATGAAAGATGAAGACTTATAGGAATAACTTTGAAATAAGGAGACTAAATAGAAAAGTTTTGGTAAGGTAGGTGGCATACCTAATGATCTTACATGACCAATTACTAAACATGGAATTCAAACTCGAACCCTAGTGCATAATTCAAATCTTGAATTTGATTCTTCCCCTAACTGCCAAACATGGTTTGAATTCTAAATTTGGTTCTCTCCCAACTGCCAACACAGAATATAAATCTTAGCACAGAATTCGAATATCGAACTTGACAGCAGAAAAGATTCAAGGGAAAGATTTTAAAAATCTTCCTCTAAGCAATGGACCACCTAATGGTTATTTGATTTTAGTTATCAAAAGTATTGTTTGATTGCTTATTTGATTATATCAAGTTTTTCATTATATGTAGTGTATTCATGTACAAGTGTAAAGCGAAAAAGATTTTTCATACATTCTCTACGTGCACACACCCTCAACACAAGCGTTGAGAATGAATAATGCTACCTATACCAATTGTTTTAATGACCTATAATAATCCTTCCATAAAAGTGAAAAAGTTAAAACTTGCCTACAATCATTCTCTACTTGTGATTTGATTTTCATATTAAATCTCTAGTTGTTTTTTTTCTTTTTTTGGTGGGGGGGTGGGGAAGGCATACACTTGCAAATTATAATAATGATACAAATTGGCTTTCTTATTCTTGAATGATACTATTTATATCTTCTCTGTTTTCCTTGTGCAAACTATGATTATCTTTTTAGGTATCTTCGATCTACTTGAAAACATTTTTGACTAAATTGGGTTGATAATGAAAGATGAAGACTTATAGAAAGAACTTTCACAAAAAGAGGACTAAATAGAAAAGTTTTGGTAAGGTAGGTGACATACCTAATAATCCTATATGACCAATTGTTAAACATGGAATTCGAACTCGAATTTGGTACAGAATTTGAATCTTGAATTTGATTCTCCTCTAACTGTCAAATATGGTTCGTATCTCCCAACGGCAAACATGGAATCTAAACGTTAGCACAGAATTCGAATCTCAAACCTAATAGCAGAAAAGATTCAAAGGAAAGATTTTAAGAATCTTCCTCTAACCTGTGGACCACCCAATGGTTATTTGATTTTAATTATCGAAAGTATTATTTGATTGTTTATTTGATTATATCAAGTTTTTCATTATATGTAGTGTATTCATGTGCAAGTATAAAGTGAAAAAAATTTTCATTCCTTCTCTACGTGCACTCACCCTCAACACAAGGGTTGATAATGAATAATGCTACCCATACCAATTGTTTTAATGACCTATAATAATCCTTCTGTAAAAGTGAAAAAGTTAATACTTGCCTACAATCATTCCCTACTTGTGATTTGATTTTCATATTAAATCTTGTTAATAAGCCCCATATTAGTTATTTTTTTTCTTGTTTTTGGAAGGGGGGAGGCATACACTTGCAAATTATAATAATAATACAAATTGGCTTTCTTATTCTTGAATGACACTATTTATATCTTCCCCATTTTCCTTGTACAAACTATGATTATCTTTTTAGGTACCTTTGATCTACTTGAAATCATTTTTGACTAAATTGAGTTAATAATGAAAGATGAAGTCTTATAGGAAAAACTTTCACAAAAAGAGGACTAAATAGAAAAGTTTTGGTAAGGTAGGTGACATACCTAATAATCCTATATGACCAATTGCTAAACATGGAATTCAAACTCGAACTTGGTATAGAATTCGAATCTTGAATTTGATTCTCCTCTAGCTGCCAAACATGGCTCGAATCCTAAATTGGATTATCTTCCAACGGCCAACATGGAATCTAAACCTTAGCACAAAATTCGTATCTCGAACCTAACAGCTGAAAAGATTCAAAGGAAAGATTTTAAGAATCTTCCTCTAACCATTGGACTACCCAATGGTCATTTGATTTTAGTTATCAAAAGTATTATTTTATTGCTTATTTGATTATATCAAGTTTTTCATTGTATGTAGTGTATTCATGTGCAAGTGTAAAGCAAAAAAGATTATTCATACCTTCTCTACAGGCACGCACACCCTCAATTTAAGGGTTGAGAATGAATAATGATACCCATACCAATTGTTTTAATGACCTATAATAATCCTTCCATAACAGTGAAAAAGTTAATACCTGTCCACAATCATTCCCTACTTGTGATTTGATTTTCATATTAAATCCCATACTAGTTTTTTTTCTCTTTTTTTTTGGGTCATACACTTGCAAATTATAATAATAATACAAATTGGCTTTCTCATTCCCATTTCGCTCTGTATTCGGGCATGCGAGCCAAACAGTTCTCATTCGTTTCATACAACCACGCTCAATAGGTCATTTTGGTCGGCACAACTTTCCAATTATTCCTCTCCATTTCCTAACTAGTCCAAACTGCCCGAGTTATTCCAAGAGCTAGCGGCTGGCTGGAATTCCACAACGACTTTAAGTCAATAATGTGTCATATCAACACATCATGTTGTGCATTTCCGTCAAGCAAGATGGGCAACTAGATAAGTCCCCGCATCGGTACTTGGGGGGGTTTGAATTGGGTAGATAAGTCCCCTTGGCGCCTTCAAAAGTTGCCGGCTTTTGAAGGTTGCTTGGGGATTTAGGTTTATTTGTCGAATTCTTGCTTTCGTCAAGAAAATGTTAGAAAAAAAAGATGGGCAACTAGATTAAACTTCGTCAAAACTAAAACTGTTTATTTAACGGCTGTCCATTAATGCACGTTAAGATGCACTTCAAATATTAAATTTTTAGAAAGGTAAAATTAATTAAAAAAATTTGTTTAAAATGTTCATCATATTTTATTAAATAACCTTTTTTTTATCTTTCACTTTTAAAATGTTAATTTATGTCCCTTATAAATTGACATTCACAAAATTTGATTTCAACCTAAGTTTTCGATGACTTTTGAGCATGAATTTACCATATGACTCACATGCAATAATTTTTATATACAAAAAAGTCAAATCTCACTCTTTTAGTAGCAAAAATTAATATAAATTGGGTCAAATCCTACTTTTTTACGAAAAATAATGAATATAGTTTGTGTCATATACCGCTTTTTTAGGGGCAAAAATAAATATAGATTTGGTCATTTATTTAATTGCAAATGAGATCTAATCTTTTGTCTCTAAAAAAAAGTCATGTATGGATCACGCAATGAATTCATGATAAAAAATGGTTGAAAATTTAAGTTGGTGTCAAATTTTACCGAGTTAATTTTGTAAGAGATGTAAAGTTACTATTTTAAATATGAAGGACGAAAAATTTTATTTGACAAAATGTAAATAACGTTTTGAACGATTTTTTCTTAAAAAAATTACTATGTGTGTATATACAAGATAAGTTGAGTGAAATTTCGATGTGTTAATGAGTGACTATTAGACATCCGTTAAAAAAAAAATCCCAAACTAAAATTAACAGCTTAAAAGAGTGGACGTGAACTCTCGAATGATACTATTTATAATTCAGTTTGACCTGTCCTTTCTTCGTAACGTAAAAATAGGAATAGATATATGTATATATTTTTTACGTTTGACAAAAACAAAAAATTCCAGAATGACACTTATAACTCCTTGAGCAAACTACGATTATCTTTTCAGGTACCTTCGACCTTACATAAAAACGTTTTTGACTAAATTGGGTTGATAATGAAAGATGACTAAATTGGGTTGATATCTCAGAGGAGTCGGTCACCAATGACCTTACTTAAAAACGTTTTTGACTTAGAACAGTTTCGTTAAGGTACGTGACCTACATAATAAAATAATCATATATCACCAATTGCCGTTAACGGTAGGCATTGGTTTGGTAGACGTAAACGTCATTGGTGACCGACTCCTCAAGGAACTCCCGTTTCCCCTTCTAAGTCGGTCATCGCTCAGACTCTTCACGCTATAAATTTCCTCAACATCCCCTCTTTCTTTCATTCATCCTTTCTTGTTGTACTAGTCTTCTGAAATTCTCCCCAATTCTTCTATCAAAAGCGGCTTTCTATTTTCTATCCCAACAAGGTAATTGATCTGTCTTGGATAATCTTTAGTAATTCAAAGAGTAAATTGTTTAGTTCTAAAATCTATGTTTTGGGCGTTTGGCTTTGAGATTGGTGGTGAATTGGGATTAATCTTGTATTTTTTCTGACGTATCTGTTTGGGTTATTCTGAGATAATTTATTGGTTAATTTTTTCAATTAGTCCGGTTGGTTGATTTTGCTTTAGGGTTTTCGATTTTATTTTTTGGATTTTGATGATCTTGCCTATGGTTTTTATAATATTTGGAAATTGAATGATGCTTCTCTAGGGTCTTTAATAAATTCTCGATTTTGACAAGTTTGCTCTAGTGTCTTCGATCGCTGTCAGTCAAATAGTTGTTGGTTGTTTTTTTCTGCAGAAGGATTCCTTTTGCTATTGTTTTGTTTTTCCTAGCGATTTAAGCTGGTTTTGGAGTTTCAATTAGTAATAAACGGAGTTGATGTGTCAATTTTAGGTTGAGAAATTTGCAATTTAACACAGCTGATTTTCGTTCTTTGTTTATTGAGCAGATGCAAATCTTCGTGAAAACCCTCACCGGGAAGACCATCACTCTTGAAGTTGAAAGCTCTGACACAATTGATAATGTGAAAGCCAAGATTCAGGACAAGGAGGGCATCCCTCCGGACCAGCAAAGGCTGATATTTGCCGGAAAACAGCTGGAGGATGGACGCACCCTTGCCGACTACAACATTCAGAAGGAATCCACCCTTCACTTGGTTCTGCGCCTGAGGGGAGGCATGCAGATCTTTGTAAAGACCCTTACCGGAAAAACAATTACCCTCGAAGTTGAAAGCTCTGATACAATTGATAATGTCAAGGCAAAGATTCAGGACAAAGAGGGCATTCCCCCAGACCAGCAGAGGTTGATTTTTGCTGGAAAACAACTTGAAGATGGCCGCACCCTTGCTGATTATAACATTCAGAAGGAGTCGACCCTTCACTTGGTGCTTAGGTTGAGGGGAGGGATGCAGATCTTTGTGAAGACCCTCACGGGAAAGACTATCACTTTGGAGGTTGAGAGCTCAGATACAATCGACAACGTGAAAGCTAAGATCCAGGATAAGGAGGGAATCCCTCCGGATCAGCAGAGGCTGATCTTTGCTGGCAAGCAGCTTGAAGATGGCAGGACTCTTGCTGACTATAATATTCAGAAAGAGTCAACTCTTCATTTAGTGCTGAGATTGAGGGGTGGAATGCAGATTTTTGTCAAGACGTTGACAGGGAAGACCATAACTCTTGAGGTGGAGAGTTCAGATACTATAGATAATGTGAAGGCAAAAATTCAGGACAAGGAGGGCATACCACCAGACCAGCAAAGGTTGATCTTTGCTGGTAAGCAGCTTGAGGATGGCCGCACGCTTGCAGATTACAACATCCAGAAGGAATCAACGCTCCATTTGGTTCTCAGGTTGAGGGGGGGAATGCAAGTTTTTGTTAAGACTCTGACTGGAAAGACCATCACTTTGGAGGTGGAGAGCTCAGATACGATTGATAACGTCAAAGCTAAGATCCAGGACAAGGAGGGGATCCCACCTGACCAGCAGAGATTGATCTTTGCTGGTAAACAGTTGGAAGATGGAAGGACTTTGGCAGATTATAACATCCAGAAAGAGTCCACCCTTCACCTTGTCCTGCGTCTGCGTGGTGGTTTCTGAATGCTGCATCTATATGCAGTTGAAGGCTGTCTCTTGAAGATGGCAGTATTTTGTGTTGTCTGCTTGACTTCTGTTGGTGTTCAAGCCATGGGTCCTAATAACTTCTCAAGCGTTTTTTAAATGTATAGTTTAGGGATTTGGTGGTGGTGTTCCATGTTTGTGATGGGAATTAATGGTGGTGTTATTTGATTTGTTAATAAAGTTCAGAAGTTTTCAATATTCGCGCGCCCTGGAAATTTTTGGTCATTTGAAGTTTTTTGTTTTTTCCATTCAATTACTACCTTGTATGCTTCGAGATGTGACAAGAAAATTTGAGAAAAACCACAGCCTACTTTTGATTGCTATATTAGCGCTCTCATCGCCTTGATTGCACTTGCTTAATAGTGTTCTCTCATCGCCTTTGATTGTGCTTCCTAATGAGATTTAATTTCAGTGTTTTGATGTATGATAGTTCGAGCTTGGAATTTTGGTCATTTGAAGTTTTTGTTTTTCCCATTCATTACCATCGATATGCTCGACAAGAAATGCAAGTTGGCTCTTGATTGATATTAGCATTCTCTCATTGCCTTGATTGTGCTCGCTTATGAGATGTGATTTCAGCGTTTGGTGTATGATAGTTCGGTTTATTGGTGAGTTGTGATCCTTTTGGCAGTGTTGTTTAGACTTTAGAGATGTCTAATGGTAGATTACTTGCAAGTAATCTGCAAAATTAGTTCCTTTGGGATTCTGCTTAGTAGAACTATAGGTTGATTTTGTTCGTCTATAACCAATAATTGCACTTTGGTTTGCTTTACCACGAGTTAAACGCTTTATACCTGTGAACTAAACAAACCGAACCTCAAGCTTAGCCTTGAGGAGAAGTTAGATTATCATCAGCTTCCTTTTACAAGAGTACAGTTACAAAGGATCTCAAAGATGGACATCTTGTATTCGTCTGAGGACTTGGACAAGTTGACCATAGTATACCGTTTGATCCAGTTGAGATTACCAGGTTGAAGAAGTGGTCGATACAAAAGCTTTTCTTCTTCCTTCTTCCTTCTTCAGAAGTGGTTAAACAGAGTATTCTATTCTCTGGATACAGACGATAGATTTACGCGCTTTTTAAAGGCAGACCTCCTGGTTTACAAGCACTAATTTTCTGATCTTAAACTTTTTTTTTTTTAAAAAAAAAAGAGCTTCTGTTTGAACTAAATCATGGGCCAAATGCCCAAAATTAAAGGAATAAAAGGTGCTGCTGGGAAGCGTTCTTTATTTGGAGTGCACCTAGGACGGAGTCCAAGCTCAGACTATTGTCCCTTCTAAACCTATCACAATGATTCATACTATTGGTATTTCCTACACAAAAGGAACACACTTGAAACAAGTTAGCTAGTGCAATGATACGTCTTCCACCAATGTAACCATATTGGAATCATTTCCGGCTCCCGATCTTATCAAAGCAATAAGACGTTTGTTCATACTCGAAATTTTGATCCGTTACCATCTCATCTCTCTTGCTTTCATCAAGGCCAATCTCACAGCTTCAGCTTCATCTTGAGTCTCCAGTTGTGAGCTTCTCTCCACCAGAGCCCATTCAGCTCTGAGTAGATCTCCATTTAGCTTAGCTACAATACCAATTCCTAGCTTGTGGCCCTCTTTTAGATCTTTTTGTAGCTATCTGGAGTTCCACTTGCTCCCCTTCCCCACTTCCTTCCACCCGTACCTTTGCATCTGCTTCACTTGTTTCTAGTGTGCTTTTGGATTCCTCTCCTTTGCCAGCATCCTCATACTCCAACCATTCTGTGCCAGCTTTTTGAACTATTCTTATCCCTTCTGGATTACTTGGTGCCGTTCGTAGTCGCAGGCTCGCAGCAGCAAATATTACTGATGAAAATGTTATCAATTCTTAAGGGCCCTGAACTTTTAATTGAGATTTTTATTTAGTCCTCAAACTACCAAAAGCTCAACTAAGAATGACTTCAGGGGTCACGAAAAAAAAGAGTAATTCTAGAGGGTAGAAACTAGTCTAGCTCAATTGAGCTATTCACGAGTTTACTTGGTCAAAATTCAAACTCAATATTTTTTGAGCTCAAGTTGATAAATGCAAACTCAAATTCGAGCAACTCTAATAGTTCGATGGGTTTTAGTTCGAACCTAATACTTGAGATTCGAAAGCTTGTTGAATTAATTTAACTTCAAATACATATCTAGTTTGAGATGTCTACATATATCATTGAATTAATATAGTTCGAAAGCTCGTAAATTGAACTTTTGTTAGTTTGAGATGCCTACTAATCCCTTGCGTAAAACTTTATAAAATTCTAATTTACGTCGCTTAAGCTCGATTGAGATCAAGTTGGAGCAAGGTAGTATAAACTTGAGAACAGTTTTTAAGAATTCAATAAGAGCTAGCGCTCGAATTTCAACTCGAATATTTTTTCTATAATTCGATTACTTATTACATGAGTCACTTTGATCTAGGGAATTTCATTAAAGGGTCTAGTTCACGTTTCGACTGAAATCCTCTATCTTATAACATCGTATATAGTACTATATGCTAATAAATTTGGCTAAAAACCTAAAGGTAATGTACCATGGTCGCAAAAAGATTAAACCGCTTAAAATTCCTTATAAAATGAAAAAAAAAATCAAGATGATTTTTATTGGTTGATACAATGATGACACAAAGTCCTTACATATTTTGAAGGATAGGAAACAAAACATAAACTCGCTTTCAATTATAATTATCAATGCTTATTATTAACTAGTTAATGCAGTCCTTTCTACCACAGTGTGTTCTGCGTTCTTATGCATAAAGTTTTATTGAAAATTCCCGCATTAAAAGATTTTAGTATATTAAAAAAAAGGGAAGTCCGATTCTTACCGTGTAGGCGACCTTACGTGATTGGTACTTAGACGTCATTGATGACCAACGCATCCAAGGAATCCGTTTCTTCTTGAGCCGGTCATCGGTCACCCAATACTACTATATAAGTATCCCATCACCCTGTCGTTCATACTGCTACATTCAACGTCATCTGCATCTCCTCTTCTGAAAAACTCTCTCAAATTCTTCGATCAAAAGCCTTCCTTCGTTGTTTAGTCTCTCAAGGTAATTGGTTCTTCTTCTTCGATTATTTGCCTTCTTTCTTATGTGAAATTGTTTTATTGATTGTGTATGGTGCTTCGATGATTCTGAATATATTTCTGGTATATTATTAACCTGGGGCTTCGTCGGAGTTGGAATTGTAATTGGAATTAATCTTTTGCTTTATATCTGAAAACAGCTATTTTGATTGCTCTGGTTGAAGGAGAAAATTTTCCCCTTTTACATTTTGAATCTGTCTATACTCTAGGATTGTTTTGGTGATTTACTAGTTTGTTGATTTGCAGAATTTAATAAAAGTTGAAAGCCCTTTTTGGATAAACAACGGTTGATTGAGCTTTCGGCCTTTTAATTAGGGTTGAGGAATTTAATTAAGTTCACTTTTAGATGAGGATTAATCCTCTGGTGTTGTATTCGTTCTAGCAATTTACGTTCTTGAGGTACTTTTTATCTACTTTGATACGTCCTCTTTTTAACCTTCTGTGTGGTTGTTGTTGTTGCAATTTTGGCTTGAGGATTTATTTCACATAATCAGATCTGATTAGGGTTGGATTTGTGCTTTCTCTGATCTTTACAGATGCAAATCTTTGTGAAAACACTCACCGGGAAGACCATCACTCTTGAGGTTGAAAGCTCTGACACAATTGATAATGTTAAAGCCAAGATCCAAGACAAGGAGGGCATCCCTCCAGACCAGCAGAGGCTGATTTTCGCTGGAAAACAGCTCGAGGATGGACGCACCCTTGCTGACTACAACATCCAGAAGGAATCCACCCTTCACTTGGTTCTGCGCTTGAGGGGAGGCATGCAAATATTTGTCAAGACGCTTACCGGAAAAACAATTACCCTTGAAGTGGAAAGCTCTGACACAATTGATAATGTCAAGGCTAAGATTCAGGACAAAGAGGGTATTCCTCCGGACCAGCAAAGGTTGATTTTTGCTGGAAAACAACTTGAAGATGGACGTACCCTTGCTGATTATAACATTCAGAAAGAGTCGACCCTTCACTTGGTGCTCAGGTTGAGGGGAGGAATGCAAATCTTCGTGAAGACACTCACCGGAAAGACTATAACCTTGGAGGTTGAGAGCTCGGATACAATTGACAATGTTAAGGCTAAGATACAGGACAAGGAGGGAATTCCTCCGGATCAGCAGAGGTTGATTTTTGCCGGTAAGCAGCTTGAGGATGGCAGGACTCTTGCTGACTACAATATTCAGAAAGAGTCCACCCTTCATTTGGTACTCAGGTTAAGGGGTGGAATGCAGATTTTTGTTAAGGCTTTGACAGGGAAGACCATTACTCTTGAGGTGGAAAGTTCAGATACAATTGATAATGTGAAGGCAAAAATACAGGACAAAGAGGGCATTCCCCCAGACCAGCAAAGGTTGATCTTTGCAGGTAAGCAGCTTGAGGATGGGCGCACACTTGCGGATTACAACATTCAGAAGGAGTCAACCCTTCATCTCGTGCTCAGGTTGCGAGGAGGAATGCAAATTTTTGTTAAGACTCTGACTGGAAAAACCATCACATTGGAGGTGGAGAGCTCGGACACCATTGATAATGTGAAGGCTAAGATCCAGGACAAGGAGGGGATCCCACCAGACCAGCAGAGGTTGATATTTGCTGGGAAACAATTGGAAGATGGAAGGACTTTGGCCGATTACAACATCCAGAAAGAGTCCACCCTTCACCTTGTTCTGCGTCTGCGTGGTGGCTTCTAAATGCTCCATCTGTTTCAGCCCGCTTGGCTGACTTGTGTTTGGTGTTTATGCCTTGGGCCAATGGCTTCTTAAAAAGTTTTTAATTTAGTATTGTTCCAGGGTTTGCTGGTGGTGTTATTCCATGTATGTATGTAACGGGAAGTGATGCCAGTGTTGTTTGTTTTGTTAATAAAATTTAGAATTTTCTAAATATTCTTACCCTGGATTTCTGTTTTGTTTTAAGTATTTCCCTTGCATTACGACCTGTGCTTAGCATTTTTCACAGTTTGACATGACTGAATATACGAGTTTCTTGAGAGCAATCCACCACATGCCTGACTCAAGCTCATTGTTCATCGCTATTAATATGTTGACTTCAGTTGATTGGTGGGTTCTGATCGTTTTTCATTATAAAGGACTTTCTGGTTTCATTAGTGGATCAGGGTTTAAAGCATACTGTCCTCAATATTCTTCTAAAAAGGGTTCAGTTAGGGGAGGCTGTCATAGATGTCCATCCTTAAAATTTTCTCAAAACTTAAAAGTAGTTGATCCTAATAGACTGTTTAATTAACATGTAAATCTTTCAGTTGAGCAACCCTGGTTCAGAACATTGTTAAGTGGTTGAAACGTGAAAAGGCAATAGGATAGTCAAGAAGTGGTTGATAACTAGTGATCTTTTTTTTTTTTTTCTTTAATAATCTTCAACCTTATTTATTTATTTGTTTATTTTGGTTTGAAGTTTTGAAAAGCTTTTGGTGAAACTCTAAATCATGGGCGCAATTGAAGAATAAAGGTCGGTGGACAAAGAGCATTAAACCATTGAAGTTCCTTGAAAATTGAAGAACAAGATGCTCTTATCCACTAACATAGTTATGGTGTAAAATTTATACATATTTGCAAGAAAAATAAGAAAAAAAAGACACCACCACTTGATTCGAGTTATCAAAAGTATAATGAATTACCGAATTAAGTTTTTGTCATACATGATGGATATTGTTTGTCATGCATTAAGTTTTCTGTGATATTTTACACGCAAGTCATTCGTCAACATACGTGTTTTCGTAGAAGGGTATGAGTGAAACGCTCAAGAGTATTACTAATTAAATTAGTGGGCATTAAAAGATCAAGGGGCAAACACACAAGGAGATTCACAATCAAGAGGCCAAATTAGGGATTTTGACAAAAAGTTAACATCTTTTTTAAATTTTAATACGATTTACCCCGTGATTAAAAAAAACAGAATATACAAATATGGACAAATCATGACATTTTCGAGTGGAAGACATAAGAATTTCCTAAAATTAAGGGACCATCTTTTAGTTTGTTTGAAAAATATCCACCTGCCAAAAGAATTGAAAAATTAAGAGTGTGTTTGAATTGCATTTTCCGTCATTTTTCATGGAAAAATTACTGTAGCGATTTGATATATGTGAGGGAAAAAGGTGATAGGGAAATGTGATCACGGAAAACGACAATATTTTCCGACAGAAACAAATAATCCAAACACACCCTAAGATAGTTTCAATCGAGAGGAATCTCTAAAATCGAGTAAAAGAAATTTCTAAATGAGGTGGATCATCTTTTAATTTTTTTTTTCATAAGGAATTCACGTACCAAAAAGTAACGGAAAATCACCATATGTTCTAAGCCATGGAGAGATCTTGAAATTTAAGGAGGATGTTCATTTGTTGGGAAAAAGTTAAAGGCAATTGATCCTTATTATTATTAATTTTTTGACAAAAACTTTTGTAGGCTCGATTGACAGCCATTTGGCTGTAGATCGAGTGGTACACTCTACACAAATTGCCACGTAATAAATATTCAAAATTTCACAATTTTTATTCTTGGCTTATCCATAACCTTTCTCACCAATCTCTATATTCTTGGTTTTTTTTTCCAATGCAAACACAATTTTCCAATGCAAACATTTCTTCCTGCTTTCTTCCGCAAATTGCATCTCGCTTTGTATCATCTCCAAATCGAATTTTTTTTTTAAAAAAAAAAAAAGAAAAAAATTCCAAACCCCTAATCAAATTGATACTTGACTTTTCTTTTGATTTATGGTCAGATTTGTTTTAATTGGGTTTTCTTCAAAATAAATCGAAATCCTAACCGTAGGTGCTACGAGAAAGAAGGAAAGAAGACACGAGGAAAACAAAGGCGGTGACTGTAGGTTTGATGGTTTCAGTGGATCTAAGAGTGCAGATTTTGGGGTTGGAAAGGAAAATGGGTTTCTGAACAAAAGGGGCAATACGAATGGCTGTTCATATTCCTTGCAGATGCTGCTTCCTACACCGAAAGATGGTGATGGCGGTACCGTGGTAATAAGGAAATTGAGAGAGATGAGTAAGAATCTGACGGCTGTGAGTCATCTGACAGGTTGCTTGAACCATATCACCAAGTAGCACCGCTAAAATATATAGGAGTCCAAACTTTGGCAAAAGGAGGTGGTCAGCTGCAAAGGCTGATTTAACAAGGGGCGGGGCCATTGCAAGAATATATTTTTGTGCAGATGACGTGGCAAATCTCATACCTCTATGTCTACAGGTGGATGGCGGATCGGAAATGGGGCAGGAGCAAGAACAACCGTTCCTTGCAGTTGAGTTGACGGGAATGATTTGATCAAAAAATTTTTAATCTTATATATACTGTCAGTGTATACACAATCATAATTAGATATATGGCACATGTGTAATATTTGAATTTGAAATTTAAAATTTACTCACGTGTCATATATCCAACCGTGATAGTGTATACACTGACAGTGTATATAAAAATTACTCTAATATATTAGTTGGAGAAGTTTAAATGGCATAGGTTCATAATTAATTTATAGCTATGTGGATAAGATTGATATGTTTTCTTTTTTTTTTTTAATCATTGCATTCGAACTATTTTATCCTTTTTAATAGGAGTACTAAAGAAAATATTTAGAAATCCAACAAAATTGAGTGCAAAATAGGTTCAAATTCAAACTAACAAATATTTAAAAAAATTAAGATAAAATAAGAGCAAAATTGAAAAAGAACAAAATGCCAACAAAAATATGTGTAAGCGTCATTATCCTACTAAGAAACTCGGTGAAGTCATGGTCATAGAAATCCAACTGGGTCCATCTACCATTAACTCCCATACGGACAAGATTTTCATGCCAACCGTGCCCTTCCATCTGCCAATAATCACAACAGTGCCCTTCCATCTACCAATAATCACAACAGTGCCACTGATGCTTACTTCTTACTTCCTCTGCATGCAGACAGCCGCTCTGTCCTCTCCCGATAAACTCTCCCCTTCCTCGTTGCTGTCACCATCAATCGCTCCCAAATTTCAGTGCGTGATTGTGTGTGAGCTCTTCCGTCGTCTTTTCGATCATTTTCAGGTACAATGCTTTGGTCTTCACTTCGCAAAATTTCAGCTTTTTACTGTTGCTAGTAATTCATTAGAGCTCTGTTGTTGGAGTGGGCGAGGAAAGATGGGATTTTTTTGGATTGTTTTTGTGGCTGTGTGAGTGAAATATGAAATTCTTCGAACTAGCGAATTCTTTTGTTGTTTTCTTTAGTTTGGAATGAGTAATCATAGTTCTGCATTGCTGAATTGTTTGATGTTGCGTTTATGCTATCAAGGCTGCCTAGATGATTGATATAATTGGGGATTTTCTGCCTTTTTTTTTGCCTTTACCGTTTGCTTTTTCGGATTTTGATTTTTTCCAGCAGTTAAATTTGTGCATGCTTGTGAATTATGTGCAAATGTATAAGTGCAGGTGTAAAATTATCTTTTTTTATCTTTAATTTTGTTTTTCTATGTCTATTTTAGATACAAATGTTTTTAAGTGTGCGTGTGTATGAAAGATGGTGGGAGTTTTTTGCCATGTATTCTTATCATATGCGTGGGTATCAATTATCAAAGATGGTTGGGTCCTTGGAAAAATGTAAATGTGTGCTTCTGTTCTTGCATTAGAGATGGTGGTGAGGCTATTGGCACATCTTATTATATGGAGAGAGTGTGTGTGTGGGCTTGGAAGATTGCTGAGTTCTTGAAGAGATACAAGTGTATGTCTCTCTACGTGTAATTAAAAAGGTGACAAAATTTTTAAATGTGCATATTTGTAATGTGTCTGCGCGTGCGCGCATGTTTATGTGCTTCAGAGATGGTGGAGAATTTTCACATATATATTGGCAATGCATATGCAAGAAGATGTATCATATGCATATAATGTATCACTTGTGTGCGCACCTTTATACTTGCTACAAATGAATTAACTTATCTGGCTTAAATTATTCAATTTTCTGATATTTTAGGGATGAGATTTGTTATAAAAAAAATTAGATCGGGGTAATATTGATTTCAAATGTGGGGATGCTTCAATTGACTGTCGAATTCTTCCACTCATCCATGGCCTTATTCTAGTAAAAGTCAAACAAATTTCTTTCTTATTTCTGTTGATATTCTTCTGGTATCTTTTGTCATGTAACTGTTGTCATCTTTTCTTATTTTTTGTTTCTAATTTTTGCATCCTTAATAGACAAAGGTCTAGTTAGAGCGTTTGCTGTGGCTATGGATGAATTAGTTCTTCTTTTGTACGTTTTGTCTGTTTTCCTCTTTTTTGTGTAATTCCCGTCTATTCTTGTTAAGGGAATGATTTTTCTAATGACAGCCGCCTTATTTGAGTATTTATGTACATGTCTTCTTTGTTCCCTTATACAATGCTACATGTACGTAACATATTTACCATTCAATCTAATGTGAAAAAAGTTGAAAGCTGATGCGCAAAAGTCAATTTCATTTGCCATGTTTTAATATTTCATCTTTGCGTATGCAATCCAGTATTGAGCTCGCTAATTAGATTCTTAAGGAGAATAATTTTGGGATGGTTTATAGGCCAAAATTCCTAATGGAACAAGTCTGGGGAAAGTGTATAACTTACAAGGATCTTCTTCCCTAATGCTACAGAGCAATGGTACCATTGGGGTGGGTAGACACTTCTTGCAGTTGATCAACACCTTCTCCGTTACTGTTAACAACTCATCCATTTTGTTCCCCATATCCTTTCTTGCTAGATGATATTTCTGCCTAAATATTCAGTATTTGTTTTAAACATATGGGAATTAGAGGTGTTCTTCAATTAGTAGCTCTTCCAATTACAGTATGGTACTACTAGTTTCCATTTAGTACTAAATGAAAAAGTTGAAATGATACCTGGGGAATTCATTCCAGTAAACTAATATGTAAGATGGAGGAAATGAAAGCTATGTTCAGAAGTAAACAGGTCACCAAATCTAAGATGCTGTTGTTTCACATGATTTCTTCTGGAGCTTCAACACTGTATGCAACTGAAAAAAACATTCAAACACAAAAACAAAAGAAGCATTCTAGAAAACTGAAACTCCTAACATGCTACATAAACCAGGACATACTGCTGGATTTAGACAACTTTATTCCAACTTTTAGCTGTGAGACCTGCTTTTGTTTTATCTTTGCTGTTTTCAGAAGATAACTTGAGGTTGCTCACCATATCTGAATATTTGGATGAGACTTGCCTTACATATCTATTGTTTCCAAACTGCCGCATGAGATGGTAAACTAGCCCTCACGACCCAGAGGACAAAGCTTTTCTCAGTATATGCTGAGTATCATAATTAATGGTGGAAACACTATAAGAGAATTCATGAAATGACTGCAATGTTTCAGAAATATTCCATCTAGAAGAACTCAGAATGAGACAATGGAAAGCATGAAAGTTTGCTTTTAACCAAAGACTCAGTTTTAGATTAGACTCTCCAACTGTGAAAATTAGACAGGAGGGGAATGCCGGCCAATGACTTGGATGTATAATCTTCATGCTATCAAGGTATAATATAATCTGCATGCTAGCAGGATCACTGTTGCGTGGGATGAACTATCTTGTCCTAAGTTAATGCTGAGATGGCTTTTTAATCATCTTTCTTCTTTGAAAAATCTGGATGTGTATACTACTGATATTTCTTTATTTACAGATTCAACAACAGATATCTGTTGGAAACATTTTCTCTGTATCACCAAAATATTTTATCATCATATTTTCGTACTCATATTGCAGGTCGAAATTGACTAAGACTATGGATTCTTCTCTCTGGGATCCACCAATTTGTGAAGGTTGCTCTGCCTTGTTATTTTTTTAGCTAAATGATTCAAGTTACTACTGGTGGTTGTTTAGACTGAAAAAATTACTGGAACTCTGTATAGATTCGAATTTTGCAAGATGGAAATTTTCTATTTCACTAAAGCTGATTTCTTAGTTTTGTTTGTGTAATTTTTGGTTACAGCTGACAGTGCTGATTTTAAAGGAAATTGGCAGTCTGATTTCTCCTCTGGTGTGGGGTGCGGTAAGTTTATCCCCTTTACAATGTTTGCTAATCAGTTTCTTTAGGGACTTTTTTTAGACTGACTTAAGGTCCCCTCTTTTCCATTATATGTGTGTCATAGATGTCATGGAAGAAGAAGCTATAAATGAAAGGTGTTGTATCGAAGTGCTGAAAAAATTGATACCTAAGGCTGATGCCGAGATAAAGGAACTTGAGGAAGAAATTATATTTCTTCAGGCCCAAGTGGCTTTGGAAGATGATGCTTGGGCTAAGATATGCTTTGATACTTTGACAGAGAGGACCAAGGCGCTAGATATCTCGATTCAGAGATTGAAGAATGAAAAAGTGCAACAGCAACAAGGACAGGCGTCTAGTTCCCAAACACATGGAGATCCTGCTCAGAATGAAAAACAACAAACAGAAACTGAACTAAACTTTTGTTTCCAAACAGATGGAGATCCTGCTCAGAATAAAAAACAACAAACAGAAGATGAATTGGATGTTTGTTTTCAAACAGATGGAGATCCTGCGAAAATTGAAAGCCTACAAACAGAGAAGGACCTTGATTCTCACATCCAAACATGTAAGGAACCTTCTCAGAACCAAAAAATACAATTGGAACATGAGATGCGTGTTCTTTGCCAAACACATCTAGAACCTGCTCAGATTGAAAACCTGCAAGCGGAACATGAGCGGGATTTTAATTTCCAAACAAATGGAGATCCTGGTCAGGATGAAACACTACAAATGGAACATGAAATGGGTGTCCCTCACCACAAACATGGAGAACCTGCTCCGAAACTGAGTGAAATACTAAAAGCTCTTCTGGAAAAGTACTACTTTCCAAACAGAGATAAGCAGGTTTGTGTAATACCTCAATTTTATTCTGTTGCTCTGCTGCCCCACTAAGCAAGTTGGCATGGTTAATTGATTAGACATAGTTTTTCATATTACCCTCTACTATCCCCTGGTTTTTCTTGTTTGTAAATAAGTGCAATAGTTGATGTGAAGTGAAGCGGCTGAAAACCTGTTCTGGATTATTTCTGGTCATGTCACTTTTCAGAATATGTATAAATTTCCTATCCAATACCTGAAGATATTTGAGACCTTAGCTGCTAAATGCTTCCTACCATGTTCACTGGTATTAAGCATCTCAAAAGCCAGATAGATGTATGACTGAAAGAGTATTATCGGGTGAGGTATTTGAGAACTTATTCAAAGTAACTTTCAGGGAAAGAAAACCTTTTCTTTTGCTCTAGGACCAATCAACATTTTTTTAAGCATTAAGGAAGTAAAACAGCTTCATCGATTACATGAATTAGATCAGGTGAACAAATCACTTTTCGCTTCCTCTTGTTCATCACGTTTTCTGGGGAATAATGGTATGGGCTATTGCGGATTTAAATTATAATCATGACTTTGCATGCCAACGTGATGTACGCTAGTTGAATTGTAGTTTGTTCTTTTAATTTAACATCTTCTGCACTATTTGTATATGGTATTGCTGGCAAATGTGATGTCAAATACACCATCTTTGCCGATATGTATCACTGGACATTTGATGTCGACTTGGTGCTTGGAATTTGTTGTGTGTATTATTTGTTTCTTTTAAGACCTCATTTAAGTAACAATCACTTTTCGCTTCCTCTTGTGAGAAGCTCACCGCTCTCCAGTCCACAGATGAGACCGGCTTGAGCAATGCTGAAGCAATAGCCTGTGTTGCTAAATCCTTGGAAGAGATTGCCGAACCTTTTAATCTGGAAGTTTCAGAGGATGCGGAAGAGAAAGACCAGGTAAAGACAACCTCTTTGCATTATTTTGCAGTTCCTAGCATGGCTGCCCTGCGAAATCTGTCAAGTGCTAGATTTGAATTCGCAATTCTAACTTGTGACTCGTGTAGACTACAAGATATCCTTTCTCTTTGTTACATTTTCATATTGGTTTTCTCCAAACAATGATCAGAATGGAGATACCACAATCATCAACTCATTCCCAAATCTTTCTGAACATGCAAGTGAAGCATCCACCAAGAGAAAAATGATGGAGATTGATTCAAGCGGAATACATGATTCAACGACCGAGTCAGAGAAGAGGATGTATACCCCAGACATTCAGAAGGTACCTACCAATCGGTCGTCAAATTAGGAATCAATTATTATAAATGTACAAATTTCTTTTGACTTTACTGCTCTCATACAACAAACAGGAAGCAACTGCTATGATGATGGATACCAGTGCGAATGCCTTGAGCTACATAGCTGGTTCAAGCAGTGGAACAGTGGGCTGCAATCTTTCTGAAGAAACAAGCGGGGCAGTCACAGTACAGAATTTCAGAATTAAAAGCACTAAGTTGAAGCCATCTCCAAATCCCGCCGAAACCACCATTACAGAAACTGATATGGTATGAGATGTTTCTTATGTACTCGAACTGATAAACAAGTTAGGCCTAATCATTTGTGAGACTCTTGGTTTCTGGTTTCTTTAGTTTGATGTAAGCATGTACTATACCTTTTTTCAAGCTGAGGAGGCGACAGTAATGTATCCCTTTCGAGCACCCTCATATCGTTTAACTCACTGAGACGTGACTTATCAGTTGTACCTGTTATTATATTGTGAATAAACATATCTTATAATTACTATATTAATACTAATTCTTCTGAATTCTATTAGTTACTCTGCTTGAGAATTGAAATTCTCAGTGTAGGTCGAAATATTCATATATCACACTTAAATATCTAAACGAGGATGTAGAATATCTGCACCATATGCAGAACGAAATTATGTGCGTTAATGTATTTTTTTCTCTTTTCTTGATTTTTTTTGTCTATTGCTTTTGTATTCTAATTCAATAAAGAAGTAATTTTTTTCTATAAAATTACTTGTTAAAATCCTAACCAATGGAGACTTTTGACAAAAATGGGATTTTGGGTTTTCACAATTTTTCCCCCTACAAAGTATGAGGATTCAATATCTACATGGTAAATTTTCATTTCGGAGATGATTCTTATGTGACTAAGAAACTGTGTTGCATCTTTTTTTTTGTTTTTTTTTGTTTTTTGTTTTTTTCAGAGCATGTTCCAGCTTTCAGATATCACTTCAGTTTGCATGACTGATCCTGTAGAACGGAAGGTTGAAAAGGCTGATATAAACAACTCGAAAGAAACCGAATTTCCCCTCCTAATGAAGCAAGAAGATTGGAGGCTTTTTGATTTCGAACGGGCACTTGGAGGATCATCTTCAGAGCCATTGCTGAAGGAGAGACAGGAACCACAACTGTTGAATCAAACACATCATATTGAAGGAGTTGGAGCAGAACCATTCACGTCAAACTGCTTGAAGTCAGGGATTCCCGAACACAGAGACAGGCCCTTCCCCATGTTTGAGTCGGGACTACTTCCAGAATCGGCCCTTGGTATGGAAATGGAGTACAAACCTCAAGACTCATATAGAATAATTCTTGATGAGAATAATTCTATGAACAAAAAAATAAAAGAGGAGACTCATATAGACTTCAGCGGAGAGAAGAGTTGCAATGTTGTTTCGGCTTGTCAGTCACCGGGGACAAGGCAGAAATCTGTACTCCCCCCATTGATCAAGAAAGGTGAAGAGTTGGGCAATCTCCAAGTCACTCGGACGATGCAAGAGGGAAGGCTCAAAGGTTTGTTCAAGGAGGAAATCGATCGGATCTCCAACTTTCCTGCAGCGAATGAATTTGGAGTTAAGAAGCCTCTCAAGTTACTCTCTTGTACAACATCCGTGGCCACAATGAATCTCGAGTTTTTGTCGATGGCTCAACTCAGAGCCATGGCAAAGGAACGCAACCTCAAAAGGTACTCTAAACTCAACAAAAGTGACTTGATCAAGCTTCTTAATTTCCCACCTTCAGCCATTTAATTTCCCTTGTGATTGCAAACATACTCAGTTACTATGGAAGTCGCACGTACTTATCTCTGCTTCGGTTTTTAGCCATTTTACAGAAAATGCCATTATAAACTTTAAGAATGTGGAAGTGTGACTCATCTGGATAAAATTTTGATGATTTTTGGTACTCTGTTGGTTTCTTTTTGCCGTGGAGCTCGATATTTGACCGGGCCATAATATTGCTGGTGATTTACTTGCTTGGGTAACTGCATATGGATATTATTATTCACGACAGTGCATTCTTGATATAAGGATTCTGTGAAATTCCACACTTTTTGTGGTTATAATTCGACTGCACGCAGGAGGCAATTCAGCAGATAATGTGGTAGCAACTCCCCCAACTGTTATCAGCAAATCTATTGAGTTGGCTTATGATAAGTAGTAGTTGCAAAAGCAACTCTCTTAGTGTTTAGCAGCTACAGAAAAACCAGAGGCATCACCTTTTCTCTCAGACCGATCTTCTAAATTGTTTAGCAGTATCAGGGAAGTTACAAAGCCATTACCGTTTTCCCTCAAGGATTGATACAGTCAGCACTTGCTCTCCTTTAGCTTTCAGAAAGTATCAATCTGATTCTGGATGAATTCCATGTTACAGCATAAAGACAAATTTAGAGAATGAGGGTATTGTCAGGATTGGGAGTTTTCAACTGAGTGATGAATTGGGGGTTTATCTTATCATTTTGAAATCAAAGGCCAAAACAATCCGAGACTTACCTGCATTTAGTAGTCCAAAGAGAGACCATTTGCAGGTACAGAAATTTGAAGAAAGCTAAAAAATAAACCATTGGAGTTTATCTGCTGCTTTTGATCATGGTACACTTTCAGGTCACAAAATGGAATATCATTCTTCCCTGCAAACAACAATAAAACACAAGAATCAAACAAAAAATTCTTAGAAAGAAAAATAGAACACAACAAAGAAAAGTTTTGGCACTTAAATATTTTCCTAATCTCAACCTATCCCACATCTAGACTTATCCAGAACTAAGAAAAGTATCTCTCTTCAGAGGCAGAATCTAAAACTCACCTTTCTGAAAGATTATGGGCAATGCCAGAACTTTACAACGCACGACAGTCAAAAGTAACAAGATAGTAATACGAAGTTGGTGATTCTCTTCTCTCTCTCTCTCTCTCTCCCACAGCCCCCCCCTCGCTCCCCCCTCAGCCCCTCCACTTCCCACCAAAAAAGAAATATCCCAAAAAAAAAATTCTATATTCAGGTGCTGAACCTGGACATATATCATATCAAAATTTGAAGTACGCAGTATAAGATCTACTTACCAATGAAACAGGGCATTATGACCACATTGTCTCAACATTAATAATGTGTCACAAAGCATAGAAGTTTGTCTATATGCCCAATATCAGAATAACTAAACCAAAGAGATCCATGTAGGAATGCACTAAATTACCCAAGGCACAAATTCCAAGTGATTTTAAAATAAGTGCTACAATTAGAAAGAAAATTGCACACGACAACTTCAAGAATTATCTAATGAGACAAAATAGAAAGCAGACAACACTCATTTCAGTCATCTTCCTCCATGATAATGGCTCCAAACAAACAGTGAGTACATCTGTCACTGACCTGGAACCAGACTTGCTTTGGAAAGGTCTACATTTACTATATCCATTCCCGAAAGATAAACTAATTTCTTACCCCGTTCCTTGTCCTTAATTTTCTCTGATCTATCATTTAGAACTAATTTGGATTTGATTTTAGCCATTGGTTAAAATCGAAAGAGTCAAACATCCACCTTTATAAACCAGGCTAGAGGCATAGGCTGACATTCAGAGCATTACTCTACTCAAATCCCTATTTACAGAAAATCTACAAGAGTTGCACTAAAAAATTAACATCTTCTCCACGAACCTTATTAAATCAACCCCAAACTTTAATAACAGTAATGTCATTCAGACACATGCAATCAGAAAGTAGACTGAAGAACTCCAAGTTATCATGATTCATGTATATTTGTGATGAAGGCTTGCAAGGATCTTTCTGATGAAGCTTATTTGAGGTTTTTCAATAAACTTCTCGTTTGCAGGGGTAAAGACTTTTAACACACTAACTCAATCACTAAAATAACCAAACTGGAAGTGTAGAAATTCAAAAGTACCCTGAAAATGTAAAATATTCCATTTCAAGAAATCTAAGATATTTAATTTGCAATATAAGACTTTTCAAAGTACACAACTCCCCCAAATTAACTTTTTATGCCATTTTGGCAATTGTATATATTCCATTTCAAGAAAGTGGGTATACTAGTAATAAAGAAATAGCTCAATTTGAAAGTGAAGTTATTTAAAAGAATAAGTAATTAATCATGTAAGTAGAAGGGACAAAACAAGAGTGGGGCTGCATGAGACCAACCAAGTTCCCTCCATTCCAAGTAAATAGGTTAATATCCAGATAAAGCTTGAGAAACTAGACTCCACAACTACTCATCAGCATGAGCTACACATCATTCTCCCCCGTCACCACAGTACAACCACCCAGAAGCAAAAAGTTCAGCTTTTCACCCCAAATGGATGTTTACAGCTGGTTAAGTGCAGTTCCCAGGCATGCAGTTCTATTCTCCATATAAATGATAAAATGGACACTGCTAATCTAGTAAATAAATGGTGTAGGTAGTGTCCACCTTTACATAAGAATGCCCTAGCCACGTATTAACATCAAGACAAAATGATCGTGTTACATATGTATACTAATAATTGTCTTGGTGACTATAGAATCATTTGTATAATTCTGAGTAAAAAAATTCTTTCTTCAGTAAGCTAACAGCATATTTACCCTTCTCGCTTTTTCTTATCCATGTTTGTCCTTTTGTAGTTTAAAGGTGACTGAGAAGACAAAAGGTCAGATGCCTGAAGAATCTAACATGTGGATTGTCAATCGAGAGTAATAGAGGTCTGAGATGAAGATCAAATCACTCATTTAGTTCTTCTAAAAACGCACTTCCTTTTTTATGTAGGTTCCCAAAAAAAGAATCCCTAAAGTTTAATCTCCACTTTCTAAATTTTTTGACACAATACAGTATGATGAAAGAAATACTGGTGAACTAAAATATCAATGGAAAACCTATTCAACTTCATCCAATGGGTGATAGTAACTCTGACATGCTTTATCACAATGATCATTCTCCAAATATGGCCCCGCATTTAGATTTTTGAGTTTTTCATTTGACGTGTAACCCTGACTACCATATCACATTTCTTCATTTAAATACAGTGTTTATGTCAAAAGGAACTGCAGCTAAGTGCTAACTGCAAAACTTATCCGTTTCTTATTCTTGTTTGTTCTAATGCTGCACCCTCCACAAATCGCTATGAACGTCTTTTATGATGTTAACAAGTCATCTTCCCATTTTTCTTACCAAAGCATATTCTTCTACATCCCCCTAGGTCTTGTGATAAAGTGACAAAGATTGGAGGTGATATCATGAGTCAGAAGATTCAACCTCCTAGTATTCACTTTAATTCTCTGTAGCCAAGTTCTAAAGTGGATTCAATATCTCGCTCAAGTAAACTTGAAAAATCTTATCCTCAACCATTTCAGGAGCAAGTACAATTCATGAAATGACAAAGTCATCCAAACTCATCAAAGTTCTCAAACTTTGAAGACAATAGTTAACTGGTGTGTATATTCTCCTTAGAGTAACCTTCAAAATGTTCTCCTCAACCATTTCCAGAGCACGTATTATTGGTAAAATATCTAAAGCATCTGAGGTCATAAAAGCTCTTAAACGTTGAAGATGGTGCTTGGAACATGCACTATAAAACTACTCTACCTACTTTGCAGGATAAATGCAAACTTAACCTTATCCATATTAGAAATCAGTTTTAACCAGCAGAGCAATTGCACCAAGTGACAAACTGCAATTGGACTTCCCCAAGTTGATATGCCATATATGACAACTGAAGGCGGTGTACTTCCTATGGACAACCTTAGCCTCCTGTTGCTTGCCAATTCTCATTGAACTAACCAATCTACGACATGGCAAGACTAAAGAGTTCAAAGCCCTATCAATTAAAATTACTGATCAATCCACTTATGAATAAGCTAACTGCAAGAAAATCCAAATAGGAGACTAAAGAGTTTACTTGGTGAAAGGTAAGAATGCCAAACTTAAATGTATCTGCTTGATTATAAAATAAGCCTAGAGAAAGCCATCAAAACTATTGCTTGTTCTGCACGTCTTAAGCTGTGCCAGAATGATGAATATAAAACCTTTTATGGCATCTAAGAACAGCAGTCGATGAACATAAATTAGTATTAAATGACTATCCAAATACTTCGCAAAAAGATAAGCTTGAACGAGCAAACTAAGTTGTCACAGAGATAGAAAGCTATTTACCAACTTGCATATTCCAACTTGATAGAGATAAATGGAGCTAAGTCCCAAAAGTCCCTGAAAAGTAGCATGTACAAAATTATGCAAGAGTACTAGAAAAATAATCGATTCATTACAGAAAATTAAATAAAATAAAAAAGAAGGTTGTAAAACTCCTCAGAGATGACTTGTACTGTTCTATATGTAAGATGAAAAGGCCATTCAGATAAAACATGTAAGATTCATGTCAAGCGTAACTTTGTCTGAACTCCACATGAATTGTTCAGAAGTCTTTCAAATCAGGGAACTAGTGATGACAAATATTAAAAACACTTGCCAAATGGAGAAAAAAAAAATTAAAAGAAAGCTAACACTTGTTTTTAGGGCAATGAAATTCTTCAGGACTTTGCTTCAAATTCCAAGGTCAAGCTGAATCTCAAAGCCTTACCGTATAACATGAATGAGTAAATTTCTCAAGAAATAATAAGCATTGTAGGAATATTAGTGTTACCTCACGTAGATTGTAACATACAATCAGTATCCTTTAGTGCTCAAACAAGATGTGTTATACGATATTGGAGCTTGGCATTTTCTGCATGTAGCTGCTTTAGCTCTTTCTGAGCCTAAAAGGGATATAAAACAAGACTGGGTTACCTTTTTAGCACTATTTAACATGCAAAAATTAAAAAAACCGCACAAAGCACACCTTTTCTCTTTCTAAAGCTTGCTCCGCTTTCACATTTTCTAGCTTTGACTAAAGCTCACGAACCTTATTCAATAATTTCTCATTCCCAGCATCTGAAGAAGCATATCGATATGAAGAAAAGGTTAAGGATGAGTTAATCAGTAGATGTCAGAAAATTCAAAATGAAATCCGTTGAAATGCATTGATGGTTAAACCTACTTCTGTCACTAGCAATAGCAGCTTCAAGTCTTTCCAATCGAGTCTACATGACAAAGAAGGAAATTTCAATCAGTAAAACCCCTATCGTCAACAAAAACGAGGACAGATCTCCCAAACTGTCATTTGATTAACATATTACCCCTAAAAGCTTAGTGCACGCTACAATTATTAATAAAGCAAAGCGTAAAAAGTAGTATTCGAATACAAGAAAATAGTATTCTACAATTCTGTAACTTCATTTACATGCCAAACACAAAAGAATCCACTACACAAGGGTGTGTTTGATTCCTCAAAGAGAGTTGAATTGTATACCATAGGATTTAAGTAAAATTTCTATAGACAAGTCCAATTCTAGTGCAACTCCAATTCTCACAAGGA